GGCCAAATTGAACCTATTTGACCATATCTTGAGTAGATTTTAATGGAAATGGGCTTAAGGGATGATTGGTGCATCTGGGGTGTTGCTGCCGTCAATCAGTCGCCGTGTGATTTGTATTTAAGGGGGGTGTGATAAAGTTCAATCTATAGGGAATATATGTAATTTTTAGGTGTATTTGCTGAATTTTAAAAGTTTTTGTTAACCGGTTACCCGGGACCCGGAAACTTTGCCGGGTTTTACCCAGGTTGGGTTTTAAACAGTGGATCAAACATAAACCTGACTTTTATATCCTAAACCCAATTTGCCACCCGTTTTCCCCCCCAAAATCTTATACCATGAAGCCTTAACCCATTTGTCACTCTCCCATTTGCGATTTCCTCTCTTCACCGTCGATCTCTCCTTTCATCTCTTCTAACTTATTTCATCTCTCATATCCATTTTCCACTTCAAAAACAGCCCACAGCCGTTTCATCATCTCATCAACTTGCTTTTATCTCAGTAGCAATTCATCTTTCTTATTCTATTATTGACTTTCAGTTCCTCTCCAAGTCTCGTCTCTTCCTGGTAAACCTTCTTTTATTCCATTTCAATCCTTTCTCTACATGCTTTTCTCTATTGGGTTGTTTTGTTTTGTCAGTGATAGTCTATTTTGATGAAGCTTGGTTGTTGATTGAGGTTATTGCTAAAACTTGATCTACTACTGTTTTTGTTTTTTTTTATCACCATGGATTCTAAAATCATCGGATCCAATTTGGTTACTACAAGTTTAGTAATTTAACTTGAAGTTTACTACAATTAATTGTATTAACTTAATAAATAGAAACATCAAGGCCTTATTAAACAAATTTTGAAGTATCGCAATGTGTGATTTTGATTGGCTATCAATGTGTTTGAATTTTGATGGAGTAATATATTTGACACACTTAATGATGATGATCATCTGTCACATTGTGTGTCAAGTTCAATTGAGGATGAATTGATGTTATTAGGTGAAGAAAATCATTTTTTGCTAAAATGTTTATTAATGATATATTTGTTTTCGTGAATTTGTTATTTTGATTGTAATTAGTTGTAATATGGATTAATGCTTGTAAAGAATTTTTTCACAGAATTTGTAATCTGGAATTCTGGATTCTGAATTTTTTTTTTTTGCTAACATTAACATAATGACATCACCGATTGAACCGGTTCAGTTTGTCAACTCGAGACCTGGCAGTTTGTCAGGTTTCACTCGGGTTGGTTTTTAAAACATTGATTAAAATTATGAAATAAGTATTAATATTCATAAACGGGTTCGAAGGGTGAGAACCCTCAGCCCAAACCCAACCCTTTAAAAGGTTTTGATTGTCAATCAACCTCTAAACTGTGTCATGATCCATTTTGCCACCATTAATCTCCTCTTCTGCTGCCGCTAAGATCACTTGTAAAATCATCGTTGGCGTTTTCACATTGTTGCAGTAGTCCGTTAATACTCGGGGTTTAAAGCAGTAGCTAAACGCAGATGCTTTACCGCTTCAGCCTTGCAACCTACATTAATAAAGCACTGAAAAACCCAGTAGTAGTGCCCAAACAATAGACAAAAATTGTAATGGCGATATGATCAATTGTGAGATGAGCGATTATCAGGTTATAACTAAAAACACTTAGAGAAATGATTGTGTAAATCATACCTTGAAAGTAATCACAATCCATCTAATAATGGACTTTGGAAATTCTTCCCTAGCTCTTCAAAATTGCAATTCTTTCCAGGTGTACAATTCCTTCAGCCATTTGCCTCTGTAACATACAGAAGAAAATGGAACAAATGAAACACAAAAAAAAAAAAAAAAAGAATGCCCCTTTTCATCGAGTATAAATATTTTTAAGCCTGCCGACCAGGCTCGAAAAGTTACAGTGGCCCATGGCTGGGTCCTAGAGATCTCAAATTGTAGCATAGTTTTGAGAATAATATGTTATGCTCATGGCCTTTTATTTCAAAGTAGTGAGAGAATCCCAAAAGCATCACTGAGTTTTACCTGTTTATATAGGCAACACCAGCCCACTGAGAAGCAACAATTAGAAGATCATATTCTCAAGTTCTGTGGGAGGCCGGAGATGAGAGTGATGGGATGTCAAAGAAACACCTTTTAGTTAATGGCAACCAGGAATGTTGATAGAGAAGAAAATAACTTTCAAAATTAGGAAGAATCAAATGCTAGGATAAATGAATGGGGGTGACTAAAGCACAATGTATAAGGGTTTTATATGCTCTTTCCAAAAATATAAAAACTTTTATTTAAAATTCTTAGTGACCATAAATCATAAATAAAGCATGCATCCCGCCATTATAAATCCTACTTTATATACTAAACATCTGATTGTGAAAAAAACATAAGATAATTAAATTAAACTTGAGAGAACTTGGAGATAGCACGCTCCAAATATTCAATAGCTTCTGCTAGCAGTCCTTTCGCAGTTGAGTTTGACCCATAACTATCAAAGCAATTATGTATCAGGATCCTTATCAAGTGCCAGTTTGTGATGAAATGTCAACCACTTAGTGCAAAACTAAGGAAATTATTCGATATTTTAATATAAATAAAACCACAGAATGAAGAGGGAAGGAAAAGAGACATAAGAAGTGAATATTACTGCAAAAAAGAAATTGCTCCTTTTCTGTCCTTTGTCAAGTGTTTTGACTGAAAGCTGTCCAAAATCAAACTACAAAGATGTAAGACAACATGTAACACAACCCTTACATAAATTGTGGGTGATGTTTCGAGGTTAGTCACTTACAGCTACCAGTCCTTTAGGGGTTAGGTCCTTGACAGATATTTGCGTTGCTTTGCGGGGGATCCAAATGTTTTCCAGGACTATCAATTTCTTCAGATTTTTCCAATGCTGATGGAGCATCTTGGCCGGTAACCCCAGCTTTGCACGAACAGCATGATGTTTGAGGGATAATTGCTGCAAAGTTGATTATGATTTCACACACTAACCAATTAAAACATTTCAAACATATGAAAAAGAAATTCTTTCCAAGAAATAAAATGGCAATAACTACCTGAATCATACCAAATGTGCTATTAGTAACCCAATAAACCAGACTCCCTGCAAATCAAAGCAAACAATTATTGATACTGCCGCACGGGGTCAGGGGAACTTCCCTGACAAATAATAGCCTTTCTGAGACCAGCAATTAGAAAAAAGAAAATAAAATGAAAATAGATAGCAGTGTTCTCAAAATTCAATAGGCCATTGACACTATCGTATTTATGTACGACTTTTGCCCATTCAGCCGGGGGAGTAACGTCTAGGAACCCACTTATTTTTAATGGTCTCGAAAATCCATTACGCAATTGCGTAACTATCCAACAAGCTTAAATCGAGATTAATGATTACTCAATAAACTGTGGACAAATACAAGAACAAAAATACATTTCACTGTGAATCTCAATAAACAAAAAAAGTTTCAAGAAGGTAAGCTAAAAGGAAATCTGATCTAATAATCATGGAACATAATTTCGAAGTAGAATATTTTACCTGAGGAACACAATAGCTAATAAAAAAAAAATAGCGCAGACATCCAAACATCTCTTGTAATACGCAAAACGAAGATAATATTTGTATTAAATATGGTACAAATTACAGGGTACATTATATGCCATTCTTGTTCACAATTCAAATCTGGATGGTAAAATTTTAAAATGTACATATAGCAGTAATGACACCTAAACACAACTTCTCAACTCACCTTGCAATAAGCCAAGCGGGCCTCTTGTTTTCCAAGTGAAGATTTCCTTAAAAAAATCAGGTAAATATATCAAAAACGAAGTCAGCACAAACTGTAAAAGATGACCAGCAAAACTTCTCATAATATGTTAATATAATCACAATTCCAAGAAATCTCCCGACCCAAAAAATAAAAAATAAAATAGGGGCCTCAGTTGATAAGGATTGAGGGATGTTTTGCATCACAACTATACCCAGAAAGATGAAGGAACATAATAACGACAACCTGGTTTAAAACTTTAATCATTGATAGGTCAATAACTCAACATTAGTGGCGCAGGCTATCAGTCTATCACTATTGGAAAGATGAAGCCTAAAAGACCAGGAGGAATTCAGTCAAACTCTGGAACCACAAAGTTCCACACTGTAATAAATTCCACGGATAGAGCATCATACATTCTATGCTCCTATAGCTAAATAACATCACATTCAACAAAAATATGAGACATATGCAGGGGAATGAAAAGCAATATGAGTTCCTTCATTGATGAGAATATTAAAGATAAAACAGAGATCTTGGCAACCAAATTAAGAATTGTAAACTGTTTTCATCTACTATAAAACTAATAAGATGAGAACAAACAAAACATAGAAATAAGATGTGTAATTGTCATATGTCATCATTATAAAATTTATGCTGCATGTTGCAAGAAGCATGGCCAAATTGTATGGTTCATAAAAATATCAAGTCATTGTAATCCAAAAGAAAGTAAAGGATAGGTAACCTCAACGATATTAATTGTGAAACATAAAGCCAATATTACATAGTAAGCATTAATACAAAATATTTATTGCTCTATAAAATTTAAGCATGTTAGTGCCATACACAATCAAACCTGGATGACCCTCCAGTGACATTTCTCATGGTGGGCACACTAAGAGAAGAATTGAACAAAACACAACAAAAAAATAAGCATAATATTTATTCAACCAAACTATACTAGGCTACTGTTGCTTAAAGTTTAAGCCTAAAAGACAGAAGACAAATACATCAAAATACCAAAAGAATTAAGGAAAAAAAGAAAAAAAGCAAAGAAACAATAATAGTACAGAAATAACTGGCTCTCTACATATATTCCATGCTTTTGAATCTAACTCAAAATCCCTAACCCAACATCTATATTTTTTCAGTTAGAAGAGTGTATTTCTTCTTGTTGTGTGTCTTGGCTTGAGATGGGAGAAGAAAGGTAAAGTTACTTACACAAATATATAGCTTTGTCACCTGGATGGACAAGGAGGCAAGCAACCACAGAAATAAGGGCCCGATTGCTTTTCTTTCCCTCCGAACGTGAAATCTTGATCAATGAAACTCCTTCCTGACTGAGGTGGTGGGAATGGAGGAGGCACAATGAGAAATGCACATGAGAGTCAAACAAAAAGTCATTGCAAACTAAATATATGAACAACAATGAAAGGGTGAGAGGGAACGACTCTGCAAGAATTCCAGAAGAATGATCTGGTATCTAACTGTTAATGAGGAAAATGAATAGATCAGATACATAAAACTCTCAACCTCCAAGGCAAGTTTGAATTTCTTAATTCAATACAGGAAAATAAGAATAAATATCTCAACATATCAGACAATTGATAATAAGTACTGCAGCCTCACTTGGAATGTCTTCCAAAAAAGCAAATGCATAACAGAAACAGAATTTGTACTGGTACATTGACCACTGTGTGTACCAATGCCCTTACCAGCTTTGACGGTACAAAAGACAAGGATACAACGCTGAGCATCAGATGGACGAATTTTTGGAAAAAATCGTCAATTCAAGGAAGAAATCATCCCTCCCTTCTCTCTTTACGTATTGACCCCCAAAACCTACTTCTACTCCTACTCCTTTAACAAACAAATCATGGTCAGGAGTCTATATATCAGATACAGGTGTTAAGGACACCACAACATACCCATCAAGGTGAAGTAAAAACAAAAAAATCAACAATATTTGGCCATGATCTACACTCAAGTTGGTAAAAAATGCCAACTAAACTTGATTTGTTAATAGTTCATGTAGCTTGACAACTTCTCATTAATTATTAACAAGCGAGTAATCCCAGCATAACTTAAAAATTCCACGAACATTTAAGGTTTTACAAATCCCAATCCAGATATCCTCTTCGGTCCACCTTATCGCTCTATGATATCACACCTTCAAGAAAGAAACTATCATATAGTAGAATTTACACTACTGCATTGGTGTTTTCAAGTTTTGTTCCCTAGAGAATGTGAACTGACTAGAACTCCAAAGAACGGAAGTAACTAGAGCTACAAACAAATTGCAAGTAAAACGAAAAAGCAGACTTACATTTAGGAGATATAACTCTCCTATCTTCCGCAGCTTACGAAGCTGCAAAACAACAATAGGAAGCAACGCAAGTCTGAATGCCGAAGTCAAAGCAGTAATAATTACCCACCTGAAAAGTCCTTATACACCAACTAATTAAAACAAAACATCTCAATAGTGAATTTCATTCACTATGAAAAGGAAGATATAAAAGAATTTAAAAGAAGAAAATAACATTTCAAAGAAGTTCGTATCTATAGCAATGTTTACAATTTTATAGCGCTTTGTGACAGTTTTCCACTTCATGAAACACATTTACACACAAAATAAGCTAGAGAGCGAGCTTTACCAAGGGAAGCCAGAGAGATTATGATAAGCATCCAGCAACGAAATCAGAGTTTGAACAGGAAGAATCGACTCTTCACCACTGCCAATCACTCCGTCACAGAAGTTAACAATCTCCACCGGGATCGGCACGGAGCCAGTGAGCGAGTCGTCGTCTACTGAACCGAAGTGGAAGAAACGAGAACTCACCGGCGAGTGCTTGAAGTAAGGCGACTCTGACGGTTCTGGTGGTGGTAGTGTCGCGTGGAGGAGGTGATAGAGCGGCGGCAAGTGAGGTGGAGAGTAATTCTTGTTTAGACTGTAATTTCAATTCCTAAAATTTTAAAAAATGAAAAAAAATAAAATTCTTTTTTCAATTTAAGAGATTCTAATTTCAATTCCTATAATTTCAAGGGGTTTGTCTTAGCAAAAATATTTTGAAAAGTGATTATGTACTTTAGTAAATAAAAAATTAATTATGTAAATTATAATTACTAAAATACCCTAAAATTCAATATAAGATATAAAGAATTATAAACTAAATTTTTATGTGAATATTTTAATTGATAATTAAATATTAGCTTTGTTTTAAAAAATAAAAAATAAAAACATTATCCAACAAGATCGAATATATACACAATCGTATAAATAATCAAGCAAATGAAAATATTATCATAATTTCTTATGTTATTCAATAATACTGAATAAATAATATGATAAAACATGATTCATACCATTCTACTTTAAGCTGATCTCCTTGCTTGATTCACCTACAAAAACAATAATTTCAAATATAGAATATGAAAAGTTATCACAAAATTAATATAATGAGATTTATTATTTAAAATATATAATATATATATAATATATATATTTTTTTTTTTAAAGAGAAATAAAAGTATTCACATATAAATTGAACTTATTATAATTTTAATTAAAAAAAACAAAATTATTATTGGTTTTGTTTGCATATTGATTTGTATGAGGCAATGTTTTGTTTAATTGGTTGTGTAAACTAGCACCTATAAGTTTGTGTTGGTTGTGTGACTAGCAGTTAAGTATTGTGTTTAAAAACATCACCAAAACATTACCAACGGATGTTAGCTTTTAATACGCTAGGCATGGATGTTGATGAGCTTATTCATTATATCTCAAATCTTAAAACTATAGGATAGGGTTACTCTATTGAATTCAATGTCATATTTATATACATTTAATTCAAATAAAGTGTATGAATGAGAAGATCATCAATGCAAAATGGTAAAACTTTATAATATTAATTACAAAATGTAATGTAGCTCTTTAATCATTAACTACATACCGGTTCATTGAAGTGCTTTTGCACTGTGGCATTCAAGTTGCCATTCCAACGTTCTTCCATTCCAAAGGATCCCATAATCACTTTATTAGGCTTGGGTGTCACTTGCTTTACAAAGGATCCCATAATCACTTTATTAAGCTTGGGTGTCACTTGCTTTCCATAACCAAAGGTCTTCATTTTTCCACATCTCCATATCTTTAGGATCTCCAATTCTGGGAATTCAATAATATATGATCCAGAGCTAAAACAAGTAAGGCTGTTTAGATATTCAAGTTCCAAACTGTACAAACTAGGAAACACTATCCTCTCTATTGATGCTTTTTTTTCTCCTTTCTCATTTGTGACTATTTCTTCTATTGTTGAACAGCTCCATAGTACAAAAGACTTGAGCTTCACCAGGCATTTGACAATGGAAGGGGTGAAGAGGTTTTTTAATTTATCACAACTATCTATTGTTATAGTAGTCAGGTTTCCCAAACTTGGGGAGGTTATGGTGTGGTCTAACTCCTCATCCAAAGCTTCTTTCTTCTCAAAGATCTCCTCTAAATTATTGCATTCCGTTATATATATTTCTTCCAAACAAATAAGGCTTTTTAGTAGACTTGGTGAAAATAGTTTTATTAACTTGTAGCATATATAAACTCCTACTCTCTTCAAGTTACAAAGGCTTATGGATTGATGGTCTCCCTTCCATATATGTGACAACTTAGGCAATGCTTTCAATTGTAGATGCTCTAATGATGATAGTAACTTGGCTTCTCCCTCTGCAATCTTAATATCTTTACAATCAAATATATACACCAATGATTCACAAGATGTGATATTAAGATACTTCAATTCATTGAACCCTTCTTCAACTAGGATATGGCTAATACTCTCCAAATTAGTAATTCTATCTAAAAATAGCCACTCAATTCTTTTGAGCAAACGTTTAACCCAGTCTTGTATTTTTGAAATGTTAGTTTGTGAGACATGCATATTTCTTGATCTACTCCCATCCATATAAGCATCAAAATATTCACAATAACCAATTCTTAATTTAAAGTTGGATAGGTTATTTTGGAATACCAACAATTTTGGTGAGAGGTCAAGGTTTGGAATATTAATATCTAAATGAGTCAATTGAGACAAGGCTTGTAACTCAACAAGATTGGCATTGCTTCTCAAATTTTCACTTTCAGATTCCCATCCCGTAAATCTATTAATATACAACTCCTCTAACTTTTTAAGAGAGGATATAACACCACGAGATATTAGCGTTAACTCCCGACNATTATACATATTCAATTCCTCTAAATTGTAGAAAGTTGAGTTTGGTGTCCATTCCAATGTATTTAGAAGATACTTTATCTCATCACATGATATGATATCAAGATACTTCAATTCATTGAACCCTTCTTCAACTAGGTGATGGCTAATACTCTCTAAATTATCAATTTCCTCTAAAAATAGACACTCAGTTCTTATGAGCAAACCTTTAACCCAATCATGTATTTTTGATATGTTGGTTTGTGAGACATGCATACTTCTTGAGTATCTACTCCCATTTAAATCAAAATCATTACTATATTTACTATAACCTATTCTTAATTTAAAGTTGGACAGGTTATTTTGGAATACCAACAATTTTGGTGAGAGGTCCAGGTTTGAAATAGAAATCTCTAAATGAGTCAATCGAGACAAGGCTTCTAACTCAACGAGATTGGCATTGCTCTTCAAATTTTCACTTTCAGATTCCCATTGCCTGAATCTATTAACGTACAATTCCTCCAACTTTTTAAGAGAGACTATAACACCAGGAGGTATTAGTGTTAACTTCGTACAATCATTCAAATCTAATAACCTGAGATTACTTAATTGGCTAAAGGATACGGGGATCTCTACAATAGAAGATCTGGAAAGGCTAAGAATCTCTAGTTTACTTAGACTTCCAATCACTGATAGGTCACCCAACGTGCAACCACTAATATGTAATGTTCTAAGATTTGAAAGAAATGAAAATGAATCAGGCAATGACAAGAGCGTGAATCCACTCAAGTCTAAAACATTGAGATTCTTCATTCCTGGAAAGAAATTCCCAGGAAAAAAAATCTCAGAACTGCCTTGCACCATCAAAACTTGTAACTTTGGGCATTCTACCTCATTAGGTAGCTCTATAGTATTATTTGACATTAGTGAGATACATGTGAAATCTTCAAAAGTATCTTTATTTGTCCACTCTCGTAGACCAATGCCAGCTTTTACCAAGAATTGGTGGTTGTATTTAGAAGCTATGTTTAATGCAAAATCCCGCACTACATCATGCATTTTAACATACTCTTCACCATCATCAATTAAGAGAAAGGAAGAAGTGATGGTACTTACAATAGCATGAACTCTATCTCTGACATCTTCTATTGTTTCATCGTCTTTAAACCACCTCTGACCAATTGCGTATCTCACTAAAACTTCAATTGGAATTTTGTAATCCTCTGGAAATAAGCTACAAAATAAGAAAAGTGATTTTGACTCCACTTTTTCTAGATAATGCAAGCTCAGCTCCAAAGATGAAAATAAGATCCCCTCCGCTCCTGGGATGTCAGAGGGGTTGGACTTTTGAAGTTGTCGTGCCGCGTTTCTCCACACATGCTTGTTCTTGCCCTTTAAAGCTCCTGCTATTGTCACAATTGCAATTGGCAAGCCACCACATTTAGCAGCTATCTCTCTTGCAATAGAGTTTATGTCAGAAGTTTCGACATCTGAGCCGACAATCTCGCTGAAAAGTACCCAAGATTCTTGTTTTGATAAAATTTCAACTGTATGTATCGGTTGACACTTCATTTCATTGCATATGGTTATGCTTCGAGAGGTGATTAAAATTTTACAACCTCTATGGTCACTCCCAAAAGGAATACCAATCTCATCCAGTTTGATTCTTTCCCAAACGTCATCTAAAATGAGGAGGATCCGCTCCTTCTCCTTGATTCTCTCCCATAGGAAACTTGCTCTTGCTATTTCAGAACTAGGCGGCAAGGAGTTTGTTGCACCTAACATGTCAGCAATATCGCTTTGAATCTTCATAATACTAGGGGTTTGAGAGACAACCGCCATCACTACAACATCATACATCTTAGCTTCTTTTACATGTTGGCTGATTTCTTTAACTAGTGTGGTTTTACCCACACCCCCCATTCCACATATTCCAATTATGCTGACACTGTCACCATCAATTAAGGCCTTCATAACTTTCCTCTTGATTGAATTTCTAGATTCAAAAGGGCCAGAATAGAATACTTTAGATGACGATGCAATTCCAGACGGAGGAGCAGGACAAGACACGCTCTCAAAGTTTCTCACTTCCTGGAGGTAATCAGAAATCACCAGAGTATGCTTCTTTGCCTCCTTACTGAATTGATAACGTTGTTTGAGATTAATGCACCACCGTTTGAGGCACCGCTTGTTGGCTTTGTCTTCATCTTCAAAAAACTTTTCGGCTGTTGTGGAAATATTTTCAGCTTCAGCTATCCAACTTTGAACATTAGCGAAGATGTTTTGTCCATTTCTTTCGGCAAATTCGATTTTCTTTTGCACCATGTCTCTGCTATCTGCCAGCTTCTTAGCTTGATTTTTCAAGTTTTCAACATTGTCATTGTAATGAAACAAGTAACCAAGTTGATCACCAGCGGCTGTGAACCAGCACTTTCCGACCTCCACAGTAATTGAAGAAAGAAATTCCATGGCTTTTTTTTTTTTTTTTTTTTTTTTTTTTTTTTTTTTTTTTTTTTTGTTTTTTTTTTTTTTGCTACTAATGTACTCTTGAAGGTGAGAGAAGGATAAAAGAAAGGATTTGAAGAAAAGGTTTAGGAGAAATTTAGTGGCTTAGTTTGCAACAAAGAGGAGGACACAAACACAATCAGATGAAGAAATTAATTAAGATGAATGATTGAGTGTTTGAAATGATAGAACAAACGGAAAAGAAGTGAATGATTTCAAGCAAGGCGAAAGAGAGAATTCTATTGAGTGATTAAGTAAGAGAGGAAAAAAAGAAAGTTTTGAAGGAAAGGTTTAAGAGAATTTAGTGGCTAGTTGCAACAAGAGGAGGACACAAACAATCGATGAAGAAATTAATTAAAGAATGAATAATAATGTTGTGAAATGATAAGAACAAAGGAAAAGAAGTAAAATGATTTCAAGCAAGGTGAAAGAGAGAATTCTATTTGAATGATTGAAGGTGAAAGAAGGATAAAATATAAGCAAAGGTATTTAGGAGAGATTTGTGAGCTAGTTTGTAACAAAGAGCGAATGCAATTTGAGAAATGATAAGAATAAGAAAAGCACAAATCAAAAAGGAGAGGGAGTATATAAATGAAATAAGAAAAGAGAAAAGTTTGAGCAAAGAAAAGTGATTTATTGAAGAAGGAAAGCATGAATTCATCTTCTGCCTTTGCTGTCAAGCCTACTTGGTTCATCCTTTTAATTACAACTATATCTTTCTTTACTTTTATACATGTAATGTGTTAGAATCTACAATTTTTATTCTATAAGAATGTCTTTGGAAAGAGAATATCAATATCTACATGACATGAAGAATACAATTAGTTGGTTAAAAACAAATTCTACACATCAAATTTTACGTATAAAATCATATATAAGTATTATGGCAAGATATATATTTAAAATCTACTTCATTTTTAACTCCTGTGTTAAATTACTTTGATAATATATTATTTGCGTCATGAAATGATAAAAGTAAAGAAAGAAAAGCACAAAAAGAAGAAGAAATATTTGTATGAAATAAGAAAAGAGAAAGGTTGCAGCATAAAGCAAAGAAAATTAAATGGTGTGAAGAAGGAAGGTATGTAATGCATCTTTGAGTGAAGAAGGAAGGTATATATGATTTCAAGCAAGGGTATTTAGGCGGACGAACGCAGAATAAGAAAAGAGAAAAGTTTGAGCATAGAAAAGTGATTTATATGAAGAAGGAAAGCATGTAATTCATCCTGAAATTTTTTGAATGATTCCATCCTCTGCCTTTGCTGCCAAGGCTGCTTGGTTTCATCCTTGTTACAACATCATTCTTTACTTTTATAACATGTTAATGCGTCAAAATCTATGACATGTCAAGGCTGTTTGGTTTCATCAACAATGTTGCAAGTTTATTGGATGCTGTCTATTTATATGTACATGTACTAGATTGTGTGTAATAGATTTGCTTATGTACATATTGATTTGCTCTTCTTGAGGACAAGAATATTTCTACATAATTTAACTATGTAATATATCTGCATTTGATTTTGAATACATGAAAGATTCATCTACACAAATATCATGTTGTAAAAGAAAAGCAGTCTTGGGAGGGAAGACGAAGGATGGAATCATCATTTCCAAGATGCATTATGTAGTATAGACCTTCCTCCCTCATACCATTTTCTTTTCTTTGCTTTATGCTGCAACTTCTTTTCTTATTTCATAATAAATTTCCTCATTTTTATGCTTTTCTTTCTTTACTTTCATCGTTTTATAACACAATTAATATATTATCAAAGTAATTTAACAAAAGAGTTAACGTAAAGTAGATTATATATATATTCGGGGCGGGGATGAGACTTACTCTATCCTACTCCCAACCCACCATTTGAGGATTAACTCTGTCCAGTGGGATTGGGTTTTTCCAGGCAATCGATCCCATCAAGTATTTTTGCCAAACCTAACATGAGCAGTGGTTACCAATACCTTAGCAAAATCTCAGAAAGGTCAATAATAATTAAAGTAAAATGTTAGGGCAGATAATCAAAATTGAGCAAAAGCTTAAGGGGAAATCCATAATATTGACGGGAGTTTATTACAAAACATAACGTCCCAATTCTAAATTATTATTCTTATAAAATAGTTCCTCTCTCTTCTTTTGAAGTCAAAAAATGAAACAGTTCTCATAATTTTAATCTATCCAAGATTTGGAGTGCTGCAGTGGCACTATCTGCCATACAAAGCACTAGTTAAAACTTATTTCAATGTACAATACAATTCAATAAACAAACTGAGAAATGAAATAATTTAATTAACATTCCCTTATTATAGCAAAACCTTCCCGGAATGTTCATCATGAGTTGAACAATGAAGACGGGGAATTATTGCAGGACTCTACGATCTTGATGGTCCAAAAACTTATGGGATATGAATATGTTGTGTAGGTGGCCTCGAGCAGATGACTTTACAACATCATCTTGTACACTTTACAAATTAGTAATCTCCTCTCCTGCTGCTGCTAAGATCACTTGGAAAATCATCATCGTCGTTTTCACATCATTGCAGTAGTTCATTATACTCAGGATTATAAGCAGCAGCTCAGTGCAGATGCTTTACAGCTTCAGCCTTGCGACCTACATTATATAAAGCACTGAAAAACCCAGTAGTTAGTGTCCAAACAATAGACATAAATTGTAATGACGATATTGATCAATTGTGAGATGAGCGATTACCAGGTTATAAGTAAAAACACTTGAGAAATGATTGTGAAAATTCATACCTTGAAAGTAATACCAATCCATCATAATAATGGGCTTTGGAACTTTTTTCCTCTGGCTCTTCCAAATTTGCAATTCTTTCCAGGTGTACAATTCCTTCAGCCATTTCCCCCTGTAACATACAGAAGAAAATGGAAACAAATTTTAAAAAAATGAATGCCCTTTTTCATCGAGTAATTATATTTTTAAGCCTGCTGACCCAGCTCAAAAAGTTTACAGCGGCCAATGGCTGGGTCCTAAAATTGAACTCAAATCGTAGCATAGTTTTGAGAATAATAAGTTTCGGAGTAGTGTGTAGAATACCAAAAGCATCACTGAGTTTTACCTGTCTTATACCCTGTAATAAATTCCATGGACAGAGCATCATACATTCTATGCTCCTATAGCAAAATAACATCACATTTCAAAAAAAAATATGAGACATATGCAGGGGAACGAAAAGCAAAATGAGTTCCTTCATTGATGAGAATATTAAAGATAGAACAGAGATCTTGGCAACCAAATTAAGAATTGTAAACTGTTTCATTCACTATAAAACTAATAAGATGAGAACCAACAAAAACTATAGAAATGAGATGGGTAATTATCATATGTCATCTTTATAAAATTTATGCTGCATGTTGCAAGAAGCATGGCCAAATTGTCTGGTTCAGATACATATCAAGTCATTTGTAATCCAAAAGAAAGTAATAACAGGATAGGTAACCCTCAACGATATTAGTCAATGAATACATAAAGACTTTATTACTATAGTAAGCATTAATACATATATTTATTGCTCTATACAAATATTCAAGCATGTTAGTGTCATACACAATCAAACCGTTCTTTGAATACTAGTAAAACCTAACATAAAACATGGGACCTGAAGAATTGAACAAAACACAACAAAATAAATAAGTACAAAATTTATTCAACCAAACTATATACGAGGCTACTGTTGCTTAAAGTTTTCGCCTAAAGGACAGAAGACAAACAGATCAAAATACCAAAAGAATAAAAAGCAAAGAAAACAATAACAGNAAGCAGCAGCTCAGTGCAGATGCTTTACAGCTTCAGCCTTGCGACCTACATTATATAAAGCACTGAAAAACCCAGTAGTTAGTGTCCAAACAATAGACATAAATTGTAATGACGATATTGATCAATTGTGAGATGAGCGATTACCAGGTTATAAGTAAAAACACTTGAGAAATGATTGTGAAAATTCATACCTTGAAAGTAATACCAATCCATCATAATAATGGGCTTTGGAACTTTTTTCCTCTGGCTCTTCCAAATTTGCAATTCTTTCCAGGTGTACAATTCCTTCAGCCATTTCCCCCTGTAACATACAGAAGAAAATGGAAACAAATTTTAAAAAAATGAATGCCCTTTTTCATCGAGTAATTATATTTTTAAGCCTGCTGACCCAGCTCAAAAAGTTTACAGCGGCCAATGGCTGGGTCCTAAAATTGAACTCAAATCGTAGCATAGTTTTGAGAATAATAAGTTTCGGAGTAGTGTGTAGAATACCAAAAGCATCACTGAGTTTTACCTGTCTTATACCCTGTAATAAATTCCATGGACAGAGCATCATACATTCTATGCTCCTATAGCAAAATAACATCACATTTCAAAAAAAAATATGAGACATATGCAGGGGAACGAAAAGCAAAATGAGTTCCTTCATTGATGAGAATATTAAAGATAGAACAGAGATCTTGGCAACCAAATTAAGAATTGTAAACTGTTTCATTCACTATAAAACTAATAAGATGAGAACCAACAAAAACTATAGAAATGAGATGGGTAATTATCATATGTCATCTTTATAAAATTTATGCTGCATGTTGCAAGAAGCATGGCCAAATTGTCTGGTTCAGATACATATCAAGTCATTTGTAATCCAAAAGAAAGTAATAACAGGATAGGTAACCCTCAACGATATTAGTCAATGAATACATAAAGACTTTATTACTATAGTAAGCATTAATACATATATTTATTGCTCTATACAAATATTCAAGCATGTTAGTGTCATACACAATCAAACCGTTCTTTGAATACTAGTAAAACCTAACATAAAACATGGGACCTGAAGAATTGAACAAAACACAACAAAATAAATAAGTACAAAATTTATTCAACCAAACTATATACGAGGCTACTGTTGCTTAAAGTTTTCGCCTAAAGGACAGAAGACAAACAGATCAAAATACCAAAAGAATAAAAAGCAAAGAAAACAATAACAGTACAGAAATAACTGGCTAACATCTATATATATTTTTTCAGTTAGCACTGCAAGTCTGAATGCCAAAGTCGAAGTAGCAATAATTACCCACCTGAAAACGCTTTATACACAACTAATTAAAGCAAAATGTTGAATTCCTAAGATAAGAATGTGAAAACTTAGGAGTTATCTAGGCATTATCTAGTTTTTAAATTTAAAAGTTAGGATAATCCTAACTTAAGGTTATCAAGATATCTAGAGTTAGTCTATAACTAGAGATGTATGATATGTATTTTTTTAAGTGAATAAGTGTGAATAAGTTTTTCCTCTATTTTTTCACAAAACATCTCAAGAGTGAATTTCATTTAACATGGAAAAGGAAGATACTAAAGAATTTAAAAGATTACATCTATATATTACAATAATAGTACAGAATGAACTAGCTAACATCTATATATTTTTTCAATTAGGAGATGTGCATTTCTTTCTAGGTCTGTGTATCTAGGTTTGAGATGGGAGAAGAAAGGTAAAGTTATTTACAGAATATATGTAGCTGTATCACCTGGATGGACAAGGAGGCTAGGAAGCACAGAAATGAGGGACACCCGATTGTTTTTGCTTCCCTCCGGAAAAGTGAAACTTGATCAATGAAACTCCTTCCTGACTGAGGTGGTGGAAATGGTGGAGGCACTAATTTTATCATGTACTCTATATATTGAAAGGCAACTAATCAGTTTCGTGAAGCAGGCTATGTGCTCTACCGAGCTAGAGCTTCCTCCGTCTCACTGGCCACCATTTTGATAAAATGTTTTCATCACTTCCAATTTGGAAAGTTTTAGCTCTCATGCACCTAATAAAATATAAAAAAAAATAATAATAAAGATTGATACATCTTGCTGGATGCAGAACCGATTTAGAAGACAAAGAAGAAATTGCTTATTCTTTGTATGGAATGAGGATTTAATAATGGATATGAAAGGTATTTATGCTATACCTAGAGGCAATATTGTATATTCATAAAAAGTTTTTAAACCAATTAGATAGGCACTCTCTGCAGAAGATATGCAGCATGTGTGAGATACTCACTCTTTCCACTAACTTCAATGTGAACAGAAATTTTAAGCAACGGTTATTGTGTATTACCTTATACTTTAAAAGAAAGAAGTTTGTGCATAAATTTTTTTTTTCTGTGCTTATGTTGGTCAAAAGACCCTCCAAAAGTAAAAACCAAGTTCACCTCAGCTGATAGGATAATTAGTGAAAGCATGCATCTCATAGTTGTTTTGTTTTAAATCAAAAAGCAATTCTTCAACACCTTCTATGTAATAATATCCTCTTCTCATACAATTTTTAAGTCCTGCAGAGATTTTTAGTTAAAATCAGTATTTTACAAATAAGGATGGATAGATCCATAGAAGAAAGAGAACATAGAGCATATCAACATATCCAAGGAATAGTCATTCAGAAATAAAGATAAATCAGAATATCTGCAATTGATTCTCAAAATATTACACTAATATACTGTGTTTCACTTTCTAATTTGATTAAACTGATGGAAAGGATAAAANTGTATTACCTTATACTTTAAAAGAAAGAAGTTTGTGCATAAATTTTTTTTTTCTGTGCTTATGTTGGTCAAAAGACCCTCCAAAAGTAAAAACCAAGTTCACCTCAGCTGATAGGATAATTAGTGAAAGCATGCATCTCATAGTTGTTTTGTTTTAAATCAAAAAGCAATTCTTCAACACCTTCTATGTAATAATATCCTCTTCTCATACAATTTTTAAGTCCTGCAGAGATTTTTAGTTAAAATCAGTATTTTACAAATAAGGATGGATAGATCCATAGAAGAAAGAGAACATAGAGCATATCAACATATCCAAGGAATAGTCATTCAGAAATAAAGATAAATCAGAATATCTGCAATTGATTCTCAAAATATTACACTAATATACTGTGTTTCACTTTCTAATTTGATTAAACTGATGGAAAGGATAAAAAGGACAGGCTAAAGTGATTCATGACATAAGAAAATTACAAACAAAATGATAAGATACAGACCACTAACCAGTACAAAAACTGCTACTGTATAAGAGTTAGATTTTAGTTGGATTAAAAGTTAATTAACAATTTGTTATCAATTATTCATATTTGCTTGGTTCATGTATGTAACTGAAACTTGTTTTGAAAAAGAATCAAACAAACAATGCAGTTAATCACATGTAAGAAAAGAAAATAACAAATATAAGTTGCATTGTTACTGAACCAAAACTCAGTTAAAAAAAAAAAAAAAAAAAAATACGTTTTATATGATTTCTTGTACTGAAGTCCAAAACAATTTTCAGGCAAAACCCAGAACATGCTCTCCGCTCTAACATGGCAGGCACTAGATTTTCAAAGCTCATACCAACCTTCCAAATTGAAAGGCCTTCCGTCATTAAAGAATTTTCTGGCTAACTCCATCTAAAATAAGACAAAACACATTAGTATAGGACATTTGATAGGAACCAAAAGCAAAGAACAGCTAATTTAGATGATCAATTGACGTAAATTTAAGAAAACAATAGAGCGGATTTTATAGCAGAAGGGAGTTAGTAAGGCTAAAATCTATCAAATTTACACGATGAAGAGAATAAGAGAAATTGCCAAAAAAACAGGGGCATAACTTTGTAAAGATCCTCAACTTTTGGGAGGAGAGATCACTCCATATTTCCAACAAGTTAAACAATCCAGAAATAGTGATTAGTGATCAACAATTTTAAATTCCAAAATCCAACTTGTGTTTCAATGCAATCCCAGACTTCAAAATATAAAAAGGACACACAAACACAAAAAGAAAACAATAATATAATCATTATGCAGTCAAAATAAATACAAGGATATAAAATCCTTTTATGACTTTTCAAATTTCAAACAGGAATTGACCTAATTACTTAATAAAATTGATCACTCAACATTCTATACTGTACAAATTTAATCATTCACTACTACAAATGATGCCTCAAATCAATTTAACTGAAAAACGAGTTCCTTCAACTGAATGAAAGCTAATATTTGCACATTAGTGTCGCACATACCTCATCAATCAGCCCCTTTTTGAATTCAATCCATGCAGTTGGGTGCTTGCATTCTATTAGTTCCTTCATAGGCATTCTGAGCATAAATTCTCATTTTGATTATCGCAACCTTAATATAAGAAAATAACTGGAAAGATTAAGAGCAAGGTATGCTGAGTATCCAAATACTGTTTCTGAAAACTCCCAACCAAATGTATTTTCCTAAGATTCATGTATCATCTGTTTCCAAAGAGTAAAAAAAAAAAAAAAAAAAAAAAAAAAAAAACTGTATGTTGTAAATAAATTAAAAAAATTTAATATTTATGCAACTCAAGAAGCTTTTCTTTCTTATGTTATAATATCAGCAACAATTAAATTACACGATTCTCAATTATATAATCAGAATTGGTATGGAAACCGATATGTTTTAAATCATCGCATCAAAATCAACCATTAACCAAAATAATATTCATCTTCATTCAATATATTAACTTCTCCAATACAATACCATACAAACATTATAGAAATAACCATAATATTCAAAGAAACATTTGTTTTCTCCAAGTTTAAAAAAAAAATTATCAGAAACTACCATTAAGAACAAAGTCTCTACCTATTCTCTAAAGTCTAAACCAAACAATCTACTCTTCAAGAAGCTTTCCCTTACTTAGATTATAATCACATCAACATTGAAAAATCCAAAATTCTATAATGAGAAATACCATGAAAACTGAAAATATTTCGTCCTCATGATACTGTATCAGCATTATTGAAATAACAACCAACAAAACAACCCCACTATCTCTCTTTACCCTTTATTTGATCAGAATTCTTCACAAATAATCTAATTCTGTTCACACTAATTCATTTTCATTGCTTACATAAAACTTTATTTTTTTTCTTCGAAAAGGCTTTGACTTTGGCGTCCCAATTTCTGACAAAAAACATAAACAAATAGAGCAAAAGAGCGAATACCCAAAGAAGGAAGGGACATCCTGGTAAAAAGGGTCACGAACGATTGTGTCCATGATGTCAAAGAGCAGTATGGGAAGCTTTCTCTGTTGAGTTTGTCCACTCAAGGAGGCCATGAGGGGCCTTTTTGTAATGTTTTT